GTCTACGTAAGGTGCTTGCTGCACCGTAGGTACACAGAGGGTTTGAAATCCCAATCTATTGCGGACTTCCACTACTAATTTCCTCCAACGGTCCAGACAACTTAGGTGATTTATGAAACCTCCCCAGCAACTGGGCAGTAGAAATAAAGACAACAGAATAAACTTCATCGTTTTTATTCTGCAAAGCAATATGCACATCTTACAAACACAAAATTAATCTAAGAGAGAAATGTCATTTCCAAATCGGCTATTAACCATCATGCAACAAGACAAGTGAAATGTAAGAACAAAACAAAACAAAAAAGCCATCTTAACCCTACAATCACCTGCAGAGGGTTGAAAACCAAGGCTCAGATTTTCTATGTAATGCCAAAGAAAAATGCAAAAGAAAACGGCAGCTTTCTAAGAACAAGAAAACACATACAAATAGAATCAAAACTGATTCAAGTCATAGTTAAAAAGAAAAAGAAAACAAAAAAGGAAAGATCAATATGATCTGAACTTTAATATTAAAGTTTTTACTCTTTTGTTTGGCTGCATTTAACTTTTGTATGTTGCGCCTAGGAACAATCCGATATTCCTCAGTATTACAGCGTTTCAACCTGATGGACACCCTTACCTCTCCGCTGCAATACAGGCGTGCCAAGGGAGAAACTAAGGCCAAAAAATACAACCCTCTCACATTTCCCCTTTCGTGTTTGCGGGTCGCAATCTTAGTTCTTTCTGGGTACTTCAGTACGGTGGGCGGTAAGTTGCAAAGCAGGCTCCTCTAATTACCAAATAGCACAACCAGACTAAACAAAACAAAAAAAATTAATGTTTTCCCCAACAGACCAAATTCCAGTTCAGACATTTGGAGTCTGGTTTTTCATTTGCTGAAACAGAAAGGACTCGGCTGTGCCTTTTTAAAGGAGTCGCATTATGGTGGGTGTTTTCTAGGTCTTTCCGGAATTTGCAACACTACCCCAATCCATTTCCTATTCCTGCCTTTGGTCCCCAGATCAAGCCACCCTCGTAGGCAACTCTAGAAGTCAGTATTAATGCAGAAGGCTGGGAGAATTAGGAACAGCTCGGACCGCTTTCATGAGAAGCCGTCTACCTGTTTTGACTTCCCCGATTCATTTCGGTGAAGCCACATTAGCCCATAGCAGCATCAGGAGAAAACTGGAAGCTCCATTTTATCCCTAGACTTCAAACTAGGCCATGTCTAAAGCTTTGTCTTAACATCTCCAGAGAAAAATGCATGTTAATGAATACCACTTAAGTAACTGAAATTCTATAAAGGAAACATGTTCTGAAGAAAAGTGTGACTATTTTGCTTCAAACGCTCTAAAGGCTCGTGAACTCCCCGAAGTCCCATCCATACAGACCAGTAGGGTACCACTCAACAGTGTCTATAGGTAATAAACTAAGAATCTTACGCCAGCATAATTGAGACTGTGAGATTTTCACTTGGGTTTCTTCTTTTGTGTAGTTTAGAGCAAAAGGAGGAGGGGAAAGAAAGCGTATGTGTATGTGTGCAGACCTACAGTTACACTACCTGACAAGAAAGCTGAAAGACAAGATGAAAGGTCAATTAAGGCAACCAGTGAGATTTTAAAAGCAGTGGTGGAAACATCTGCAGGAAAACTCTGACTCCTGAAAATTAAGGAGGCTACTCAATAAAAAGCCAGAAAGAAACAGCAAAAGCCAGAATGGCAAAGGGAGAAATGCACAGAATAAAACCTCTGATTTAAGAATGGACACAAGAGAACAGTATGTGTTTTACTGTGTGGTTTCTTTGACCTTAATCACAACAGCCCTAGTCCTCTCCTTGTCATTTTCCCCTGAGCAGACAGCATTAAATGGAAATCAGACAAAGCTAATAAAAGTGTCTTTTTCAGCTGCCCTTCAGAGATGGATGGGGAGTCCCAAAGTGAAGCTCTATACCAGTCTATGGGATTTCTCTTTCTTTCATTATTTGCACTTGCCCAAGGCTGTGCAGAGCCCCAACAGACTGTTAATACAATACATCTTTTTATTAAGTTTCACTTTCTAGAAAGGAAAAAAAAAAGTTTACAGAAAGCTGCTTTGCAGCAGAGACACACAATCCCGGTTTGAGGGCTGCGGATGGGAGGCCAAGTGGAAAGCTTTCCAGATAGTCTCTATGCTGACTGATTCTCTGGCATTCAGCAAGCCAAATAAAGTAAAAAAAAAATAAAAAAGGGAAAAAAACCTCACAAACTTAGCACTTTTCAGTAAGAAACATTTTGAAATGGGACTTCACATCTTAATTTTTTTTACTATGAATAAAAGCACAAGTTTTTCCTAAATACAGCACTATTAAAATGTGAGTATGTATTTCTTTTTTCAAAAAAAAAAAAAAAAATCTAAAATGTTGATATCTTTTCTTGCAAGCAAGGAGCAAATGGAAAAAAGTATTAGGCCACACAAATACACATTTAATTCATGTAGTAGATTGGTGGCTTTGGAAATGCAGTATTATATCAAAGGTGCATACTGTTTCAAACACACTGTACATTATCATTGGGCAAAAAACAAAGATCTGTTGGTTTGTTTGAGACACTTGCAAAGGCATCTTAACCTGCCCAGATGCAGCTAGACAAAAATATCTTGCTCTGACTATATGTAGCCATATCACTAAACATATCTACACAACATTCGGCTATGTCCACAGGTAAAGACTGAAAGTTTCCGGCCGCACTACAATGCGGAACAAGTGCATCATCTCACCTATTCTGAATATACTTTTATAAATATGTACAAATCAATTACAGGCACTTGAAATGTCTTTGGTTGGAATAAACCAACATTGCAAGATAATGTATTCACAGAGTGTTAAGACCCAGTCTGGGTTCAGCA